CATTCTGCTGTGTAACTCCTTATTAATGACAATATGGGGAGTTTACGACCCTCGATAGAAAAGGCCGCCTCATTAATGGTCAGTGCCTTATACGAAGACTCAGGTGACAAAAATGCCGTGTGTGTCTTTGTGTAGTTGTGTGTGTGTGTGTTTAGTACAGTTGTGGCACACTGGCAGCTTTATTCGTCCACAGTCCATGAACGCCAGTATGTAAGTAGATAGGGTCAGCAAGACAGACTTCCTTTAGTGCTCAGTGTGAGAGAGAGAGAGAGAAACTAGTGATCCTTGTTTTGAGGATATAACAGCGACACAGAGAGAGAATCTAATGCACACAAAGAAAAGATGGATCAGGTTTGAGGAGATTTAATGGAGGGCCTCCCTAACATCACCAAAATCAGCACTTTACTTTCCCCTGATTGGCTTTGGATGTCAGAATGCATAAATCCATCCAGAAAGTAAATACTTAAGAAGCAACTGCAGAATAGCCCAACAGAAAATACACAGGGCTGCTCAATAAAGCTGAGAAAATATCTATACAGCTGTACTGACTAATGGGGTGTTTAGATTGCAATAGGAAGCGTTTTTCTTTCTTTCTTATTATTATTATTTCTGAGAGGAAAAAACGTTTCGGGCATATTCTCTAACCCAAGTTAGACTCGGTCCCTCGGCTACAAATCACGTCACATTAGCATCTCATTTACACGACGGTATTCATAACATATTTGCCCAAGTTGGTCTGCGGAATAAATTATCAACAGAAAGTTGTTTTCATATGTATGGTAATTCAAAGTACATTCTCAAGATGTATCACAGTATGAATTGTGGTCACTAAGAGCCTGGATTCTAGTCTATAATGCGTCATGATGTGATTTCAACCATGGTCAAGTAAACCTGCTAGAAAGTAGCCAGGGTTTTTTACAGAAATTTACAGGGTACTTTTATGCGGCATCACTAAATTGTCTATTAATTTAAATTCCCAGAAAGTTCAATCAGGAAAGCCTTCTTTGAATTGAACAATAATTTATTACACATGAATAGTGCTAAGTCTGCCGTGGCATGATCTAGGGGCCGGGATGCTGCGTTTGGATAGGGCACGCCCCCCCCTTGGAGTTCAGACACTAGTGGTGGGGGTGAAGACCGTTGCTGCCTTCCTGTGATGAGCTTGCTGCTGGTTGGACGTGTCTGGGGGGAGTGGGTGGGGTGAGTTGCCCACTGTAGTTTTAGTCACTTCACTCCCTCCTTCTCCTCCTAGATTTCTCCTGCTCTGTCTCTTTGTAGCCTTCAGAGGATCAGTAAGAAGCTGTTCGTTACCGCCACTGCGAGTCTGTGCTGATGCTCAGATCATACTTTCAAACAACTTCCTCTGAGAATCACGCACCGATGGCGAGGAAATGAAGACTTGAATTAAGGAATCACAATCTACACAGTTCTGCAGCACTAAATGCGCGATGGGCTCCCCACCGTAATAAAAAGATAAGAATACAGAGACTTTTCTTTTTGCATACACAGCACTAATAAATACGTTTATAGTGAGATTATTCACCCAGTTTTGATGCATCGTCTAAATCAATAAATGACATAATGCTGTAAGTCTTACAAATTTATTTCATATAGCGTAGCTGCACATGAAAATGTATGGCCTGAATTGACCATATCATCAAAGCTGTTCAGTCTTTGTCCGAGACTGAGCCACAGGATATAAAGAGCTACTGTGCTAGAAATGATGCACGTAAATGGTATCTGCTCTCCCATGGGAACGGCTTGACACGGCCAGAGGTCAGCGATCTCCATCCTGGCTCCTTCTAAGATTGTATAGATTTATCTCCTCTCTCATCTTCCCACTTTCGTCCAAATGAGCTGGAGGAGCGGCGATTAAATGCCAGAAAGTAATCCCTTACAAAGAAAGGAGATAAGGATATGAAGACTGAGACATAGTGGGAGATGACAAGATTCCCTCCCGTGTCTCCTTTTCCCTTGGTAATTGCAGCATTTGTCCTCTTCTGGGACGGAGGGACGCATGCTCGCTGCTACACTTGTGTGAGTCACACAGCCTCATGTTTGGGCGGCGGGAAGAAGGAGAGATTTTCATCAATAAAGAGGTGTTATTCTCCGTGCACAGATACGCCTTTGTGCGCTTTGATGTGTGTTGAATCGGAAAAAAGTGGAGAGCACATAAAGAGAGGAGATGCGGGGGAGGAGCATAGACATTCATGCGCCATCAGGCCTTGTCAATTCATACTTCTTTCAAAATATTTCAAACAGCTGTCTGAAAAACAGAAAAGAAAACAATTTGAAAGTGTCTAACATGATAAACTAGACGTAAAAGAATATATATGTTAATTAAGAACTAATAAACTATAAAGTACACATTTTTTTCTAATAACAATGAGGGAAGATGTAGCTTTTTTAATTTGTTCACAGAAATTATCATTATTGCATTATTGTAAGTATTGTTTAGAAAAATGGCAATACTACAATCTGTACTCCTTAATGGGACATTAATACAATAATCCTGTGAATATAAACTTTGGGTGTGTTTTACTTGCTAGTTAATTGTTGCCCCCACTGCACAGCACTAATACAGCTGTTTACGTCCCCCACCCTGACACTCCCCCCAGCACCGTTACCTTTGTTTGCGCTGTGAGCGCGGTTAGCTGGTTGTTAGCCGGCACTTCCCGCGTGTGGGCGGACAAGCCGTTTGTGTGGTGTTGTAGCTGCTGCGGTAGTGCACAATAAAAGAAGACGTGCAGGGATTGTCTGCAAGCAAAACCATACAAATACAGTACATCTGGGAACCAAAAGGATGATAGTGATGATAGTGCTTGCTAGGTTGCTATGGTCCGATACTCAGCCTAGGTTACCAAGTGTATAAATAACATTGGTTTTTCGTGACCATGATTTAATTTTTGTATACAAAGTATGAGAATATGAGAACCTGTTGGAACCAGGTGTTATGTTGTGGGTGCAATTTAACTCGGACTCGGAAGATGTGGTGTTCAGAGAAATCAATCATCTGTTGGGGGAAACATCAATATGTGTTCACAAATGATGATAATGTGCATGCAGGTTAGTCCCATAAAGGGATGAGCTGTGGAAATAGATCATTATCTTGTGTAAACAAAAAAGATTTCTGCTCAAGGTTTTTGTTGGTGTTAAATTAATTTTGTTGTGCAAGTATATTTTATTTGTTTGCACAATGATCAGAAATTTGTTGCATCAATTGAAGATGAAACTTCAGAATGAATCAAAAACTGAGACAAAGTTGACAAAAGTAATATTAAGTGAAAGCAAAGGTTTCACGACTGAACTGTGTTTTGAACAGAGAGTAGCAATCTATAACCTGTGTCCCCATACAACTCTCTAACAGAGCTAATTGACAAAGTGGCAGTCTATGAAATGAAATATCTATTGATAGATTTGGGTGACATATCTCAGATCGAAAAGGGGTAAAATTGGTGGATGATGAAGCTGTCCTCATGTTTAACGCTGGGCCCTGGCCAGGATAGCACTGAAAGGCCGCACTTGTTGTGAGTGGGATGGAGCGGTAAAGAAGCACTACAATCAATTTAGATCAGACAAGGAACCCGGGGAACTCTCCAAAGGGCAATTTAGACAAAAAAAAAAATAGTCAACAGGGTTCAGAAACCATTGGTGCACAGATGCAAAGCCCATGTGCTGCTCCCTACACCAGACTCCTCCTTCTCAGCCTCCTCCTTTTCTTCCTGCCATGGTTCACTTCATCAAAAGCATCTTGGTGAATATGAAATATGCCTGAGATGAATGGTTACTGCCTGGAATGCGCATATTGAACACTCAATATCTGTAATATCCTCCAATATCATTATCTTCCTCCACACCCGTGAACAAATCTGTCACAGTCTGCAGAGCTACTCGGGTAGGCGAGATAGTCAATAAAGAGATGAGTATAATAATAAAAGTTGGTATTAATAATACTTGCTCTGTCTCTTCATCACTCTTTCTGCTGCAGTTCTGATAAATTCATTTTTAGAGTGCTTTTTTGGCACGATGAGATTTTCAATTCACTGTTTAGGAAGTTGTAAAATGTGGACAAAATGTGTAGAGACAACAAAAGACATTAGAGACGGCAAGTAACTCTCCAATCTCTGAAAACTATCATCATCATCATGTTTTATATTTTAACATTGTGGCAAATATTTCTGTTTCTCAAACACGTATTTCCAATGCTGTGATCGAGTTAATAAATAAATAAATGCAGTTTTTGGTGTGAAAACCTCGTCAAAGCCTCCTCTTATACGTTTGCCCCATGGCCGCTCGGGCCTTCTAACAATCACATCTTTACTAGTAGGGTACCCTGAGTGCCAATGTGTAAAGCATATGGCCACCGACAAGTTTGACCATTTTTAATCAACAATGTGTTAACTATTCACCAGTTAGTCGGTTCTATGCCACTTATCCTTTCAGAGGTTTGCAGGGGGCTGGAGGTAATCCCAGCTAACATCAAGTGCACCCTAGAACGGGATTGGTTGCACGTTGATCAGTGGACAGACATAGAGACAAACAATCATATTCAAAAGACTTAGGTACCATTTAGAGTTAATTAATCTAACCCACAGAGCATAACTTTGGACTGTGGGAGGAAGCTGGGGAGAACCCACACAGACAGGTAGAGAACATGCAGACTCCACACAGAAAGGCCGCTCGGTAGTTTCAAACCCAGGACCTTCTTGCTGTTGTGCTACAGTGCTAACCAGCACACCACCTCATCGCCCTGTTAATTGTTCTTGTTCATCTAAAAAGTAAAATTAGTAGCATATTCTTTGATGTAACATAAGATACGGTTGAAGTCCTTTATATTATAATATATAATGTTTTATATATATTTAAGAAACTATCCATGTTTATATCACTATGTTGAAATGGGCAAATGTGTTATGCCAAGACCTGACAGTCATTTCCATGTTAGAGAAAGCCATTATTTCTCTCTCCCATTCCCTTTTTCTCTGTCTATGTCTGAACAGCCGGAGCTGTCCGGAGCAGCCATGCTCCACCAGGCCCGGCGGGATCAGGTGGGGGATGCATGTCGAGTCTACAGTGCGTCCAGCCGTAAGCGCAGAGTCCTGACACCCGGAGACCTCAAACACCTCGTGGTGGACGAAGACCACGAGCTCATCTACTGCTACGTTCCCAAGGTGGCCTGTACCAACTGGAAACGCGTCATGATGGTGCTCACAGGCCGGGGCAAATACAGGTCAGTACCAGGGACCAGTCACCCCCCCCCCCCCCCCCCAAAAGGACCACTCTGAGATGGACAGTTAGGATGAAAAATGCACAGGACATTTGTTCTGGGAATTGGTTACACCCCTGCAGCCCGCTAACATTACAGTGGAAGTTGATATCATGGAATTAAGTTGTTTTTTGCTGAATCTTCTTATAACTGTCTTCCACAGCGACCCAATGGATATCCCTTCCAATGAAGCCCACATCCCTTCCAACCTGAAGACACTGAACCAGTACAGTATTGCTGAGATCAACCACCGCCTCAAGAACTACCTCAAGTTCCTCTTTGTTCGCGAGCCCTTTGAGAGGCTGGTCTCCGCATACCGCAACAAATTCACCCTCAAGTACAACTCGTCCTTTCACAAGCGCTTCGGCACCCGCATCATCCGCCGCTACCGCAAGAATGCCACGCAGGACGCCTTGTTCCACGGAGCTGATGTCAAATTTAAGGAATTCACAGAGTACCTGGTGGACCCGGCAACACAGCGTGACGGCCCGCTCAATGAGCACTGGCAGACCGTCTACCAGCTCTGTCACCCTTGTCACATCCACTACGATCTGGTGGGCAAGTACGAGACGCTGGAAGAGGATGCTAACTACGTGTTGCGGCTGGTAGGAGTTGGCGACTCCTTGCGCTTCCCGAGCTATGCCAAGTCCACCCGCACCACGGATGCCATGACCGCCCAGTTCTTCAGCAATATCACCACCCAGCAGCAGATCCAGCTCTACCAGCTTTACAAGTTGGACTTCCTAATGTTCAACTACTCCACACCCAGCTACCTCCGGGTGGACTGATGGAGGACACAGCTAGAACTGGAGGGATTTTTACGGAGGCAAACTTGATTTTTTTTAAACCGTCGTCGTAACTGCAGGGTCTGAATTAGACATATGAATAGGTGCTGAAAGAGAGAAAGGTAATGCGTGCTTGTCTGGGCAAAAGGGAGGGGGGATGTCCAATCAACTCTGCGTGCAACACAGAGCGCTTGTTGGATGTGGGCAAAATTAACCAAATGCATGCAAAAAAAAAAAAAAAAAGTGTGGGCGAAGCAGGTCTTCAAGGTGTTTTAAAACACAGGAACTTATCCCCAGAGAACGGCGCTAAAGAGCGATTCTCCTGATGATCCCCCCTTCTTGTTTCAACAAACTGCTGACAGATTAGACCGCTTCAGATTCTACAAAGCGAACAGCGGCCTCGCACGCGCCCTGACCCCAACGCATCGTGGGAGCTAAGCTTATCTCCACCTCCCCTCCTGATCAGTAGAGAAACTCTGTCAAATTGTAAAACACTGTTCATTTCCTCGTCACTCTGTCAGCGCGGTGTGTTAGAGGCCTGCTCATCAACCCGTAAAGGATGTTTTCTGACTTTACTCTGGAGACCTCAACTGTTCGTAATCGTAACTGTGCGGCATTTAGCCAACGGGTTTAATGAAACAAAGGGTCACTGGTCTCTATTATTGTGATGTTGGCACAAGCCCTCTTGTGTTACTCCTTGAATCCCCCGAGGAAAACAGAGTCTCTTGCTGCGACGGTGAAGTGTGGAAGTGCTTAATAAATCATTGCCTCTGACACCGAGCATCCTTAACACTTTGAGCTGCAGGAAGTCTTAAGAAAGGTACTAGATGTTCTCACAGCGATTGGCCGCACAAGCTGGGAGTGACAAGTCACAGAAGGTCTGAGCTGAAAGATAAGAAACAGCCTGTGTGGTTGTGGAAAGTTTAAAGGCACGGGATCTCATTGCCCCACCCTGCTGTGCCCCACCCAGGACCTCAGTGGACACACCCACAAAAGCCCCTGCTCAGACGACCAAACATGTCTTTCAGTAAATTAATCCTTTGTTTCTATGCTTATTTTTGGTTTGTATTGTTTTATAAATCATTGCTGCGAGCAGTAATAACAAAATATTATTTAATTTGCTTTGTTGGTTAAAAAGAGAAATATTTTTGTGTTGATGAACATATTAGGATATGATTTAAAGTTCAACTGTTGTCAGTGTTTTTCATGTTGCTCTCTTTCTTCACAACTTGCCTCTGATACACAGTTTCTTTTCTGATGGTGCATGGTGCGTTTTCTGACCACGGCTTTGTCCTTCTGTGTCTGACATCACCAGAGATTTACGAGTTCCTCTTCTCCATTTCCGGTCCTCAAATATTTGGTGCCAAAATGGAGCCTCGGAGCTCCGCTCTTGGTTTGCTGTTAAGGTAAAGATGAGACCCCCACCTCTCCAACCCGAACACGGGCACTAGACGCTGCTCTTAGTGTACATATCAACAAATCTGCTGCCCGCATCACAGTCACATGCAGAGTAAAGTCAAGGTTAATAACTGCTCTCCATCACGCTGTGAATTGGATTACAGGCTGTAAGTATTATACAGGGGGAGAGGGAGAGAGAGGGGCGGAGTCATTTAGTTTTATACCTCTTTGTAAATTCAAAACCACTCCAGCTTCAAAGTCAAAGAGATGGAGGTTTTTTTTTATGGAAATTGTTACAATTGACTGAACCAGGAATAATATTTCTTTTTTTTAGAGTTTTAAAAGTTTTCCCCATTATTCCTGCTGGTATTAATAACATTTCACTCGCCAGATTCAGTGTGGAGAGGTTACTTATGCTGTGATACTGATAGACATGGCTGTATTAATGGTGAAGCCGATATGTGTCAGTATGACACGGACAAAAGCACAATTTCAACTCCCATGATTCGGGCCTTTAAGCGGGTCCTTCATTACCTGACCTGGAGGCCCTGTCTAGTGGGTTCCTGTCAGAATGTAGTCTTAAAACCTGCATTTTTGCACTTAACTGGCAAACAAACGCTGGTAATTGCCATGTCTGCTAGATCCTTTAGGGTCCAGCATAGTCCAAGGGTCACTGTATGGGAATACAGACATATGCACAAATAAAGCACAGGCCCGATATCTCAGAATGCTTCGAAATGAGCATAACATGCACTACGACGCTGTAGAGCCCTTTATTCAGACAATAAAAACCAACCAGGACGAACAAACATATAGTATGTGCTGTGTGTACACACTAGAAAGAAGCAGCAGTAGTACAATTACAATATAAACAACTAAAATACAATCTTAAAGGAATTAAGTTAACAATGTAGGTTGTAAATAGTGTAAAGTCATGTAGACACTCTGCAGTGCAGGAGGTAAGGGTTTAAAAGTTAGAAAAGAGTTTACTTGCAAATTGATATTTATGTCAAATGTAGCCTACATTTCAGGTTCAGTTTAATTTAAAGTTTTGTTTGGTGATGACTTTAGGTCTCTGGCAAGCGAAGTGTTCGCATAACTAATAGTGATAACTAAATCTTGGATAATAATTTGATACAGACACATTGTAGCTGTAAACCTGTACTGATATGGTATTGTAGTAATATCACTGTACAGGCCTGTGGGAGAGGGCAATGGTGAGAGACCTGCCTTGTTTTTTCACCCCCACACAAACATCTGGGTCTAATACAGGAGAAAAGTTGCAGGCCTGGCCTTGTTCTCCTGCGCAGACAATGGCTGTATTCTCCGAGCGTCGTCCACCCTCAGAAGGGCAAAGAATAACACACACAAATCAGCTAACGCACTCACGCATCTCTCCTGCTTATGTTGATTGCAACGCAGCATCTTACTTAGCAGCTGTGAGCAGAGCCCTCCTCTCTTATGGAGCTTAGACGGCTCATTTAGCCTCTAGATTGTAAGATGAATGATTCACAAAGGACCTGTTAGGCTGCAAGCGAGCCGTTAGAGGCCTACCCTCCCTCCTCCCCCGCCTCACTCCAATCATGGCCTGTATATATAAAACGGAAGTCAGTGTCGGTGATCCCTACCATCCACGTGGTAGAAGCACACTCTAGAATAGCCCCCAGGGGCCCCCTCGGACTTTCAGCCACGTTCCCAGTGCGTTCATCCTGCTTCTTGCCCCTCAGCCTGTTTGTTACAGTCAAGCCAACGAGTATATTTATGTTGATTTTGAACGATGTCTATTATCAGACTGAACTACACATTTGCAGATAGGAACACAGGAAGACTTCTGAACGTATCTAAGAGAGTTCTTTTGCTTATATTATTATGGTATTACCTTTGCACAAGGTTAACCGTGTCATAGCAGGAAAATATAACTGGAGAGTTAGCTGGACAATTTGGGACAACTACTTCCTTAGTGAGATGATTGGAGTGTTTGTCATTTATGGAGGTATAGTCAGCAGCTGTTTGGCTTAGTGGGAACAGTGTAAACATGGGGTCCAAAGCTTACAAGAATGAGTCAGTCTGCACACCGTGTCTGCACTTCACAGTTGTTATGACTGGATTAGTGAGTTCACAGTAACAGGTAACCCAGAAGCTACACTCATACCCATCTTGGCTTTCTAGCGGAGGGGGTCTTTCGAGCATAATATCAAACTTACAAACAAACTATACAAACAAGAAACATGTTGTATAGTTTGGGGTGTTTACCTTGGTTATTTTTGGCACCAAAAATATGAATGAAAAAATCAACCAAAAACCTAATTGTATCTCATATTATCCGCACAGAGGGATGAAGCCAGGAACGGCTACTTATTTCCACATCCGACCTTCATTTACAATGCAGGATGTTTTTGTATGGTGGAGACATGATGCCAGTCATTCTGCTGTTGCTTTTAAGCTGTCATGTCTGGATTAATTAGCGCTCTGGTAGCCTTGCACACAGACACACACATTGGCTTTTTCGAGGCACTATTGTTTCTCTGCCTTTCATTCACAGCAACACAGTGAATATTCATTGTTTTTCCAGCCTGTGGCAGCAGGACGGATGGTTTGGCTTCTCAGCGTGCTATTTCCCTCCCTTTGCTGTAATACGTTTTCAAGAATAATTAGAAAACCATTTGGACAAAGACTTTCTGCCTATATTGCACATTTTCACTGCATTTAGATTTGGGTTCTAGTTTTGTCATTGCCCAATGACTTCCCTGGCCAAAAAGCTTCAAGTTTTTTACAAGAGCAAAACTTTATTTAGCTACAATGAACTATTTCGCATGTCAGAATGTTATTAGGAGAATTATCCTCTTTTTGGAGGACCAGATAGCATTATCACCAAATTTGCAACATGAAATTCAATTTGAAGAACTGCAGCACATAGAAATGAGGTGTTTTTCTTTAGCTTTTTATAGGTACCTCCGTTCACTCTCCTTAAATTTCTCTTCCCTTATGACAAGTCACGCAAACATGCCATTATGCGTACGTACTGCGATAACGCACAGCTCATTTTACCACAAAGCGTGCTAGCTGCTGACCTCAAAACAAGGGCCTCCAACCTTTCTTTCTTTCTTGTATACCCGGCGTGTGAAGAACGTGCTCACTGGAACACATTAAAGTCATTGTCTCAAAGTTCTTCCATCCATCCATTTTTCAAAGCCGCTTATTGTTCATACAGGGGAGCTGGGGTCAATCCCAACTAGCTGTTAAATTCTTAGATTGCTTTCACACATTTGGTTAAATTTGTACACATCAGCGTGTCCCCTGCCGCGTGCCATGCGCCCATGCACCGCCCTGACATCTTACGTTCTCCTTCGGTGAGCGGAGATCATGCACCCTCTGATCTCCCAAGTGTTTCCCAGCGGGTTCATGTTCCGCCAGATGGTGTAGATGTTGTGTTGTGGCCTCGAAAGTTGTGTGTGTGTGTGTGTGTGTGTGTGTGTGCGCCTGTTTATGAATTTCATACCATGTCATCAGCATTTTTAAGCATTTTGCGTATCAGAAGGCCTCCTGTGCTGTAACTAGTGGAGCTGCCAGATGATGGTGTGTGTGTTAGTGTGTGCGCGTGGCTGTACTCACTCTGCCTTACAGGGGACGTTGCAGAGAAAGGCCAAGATTGTTGTTCAAATAGGAGAAACTAATTTATTTATTTATTCTCAGACAAACCCATACTCCGTCCTCACAATCACCATGGAAACATACCTAAACTCTTTACATCTCTTGTTCTCTCCCAGAATTTGCGTCTCACTCCTGTTTTACTGTTTTCTCTCAGTGAGATCATGAAAAATTGAGCGTGTACAGTACAGTGTGTGGGGTCAATTCTACAACAGCACGACCTGTGGTTCATCCTGTCTGATGTTTTCACAATAAAATTACTCTGAAACTCCCACAGCCTCCCGCTGCTTTTTTCCTTCTTTTTGATTTGCACAGGGTTACGTCACATACGTAGGAACACACCAGCTGCATGTGACCTCAGAAGAATGAAGCTTTGAATTTCCTCTAACCTCCATGTATATGTCAGAAGACAAGTTCTTTTTAAATTAACTCAAGTTAGTACAATACATTTAATGCTGTTACTGTACATTTAACTGTTTGAAATGAAATCGTTTTCAGCTCCACCTCTTAACTATATTGTTAACAATACAACGTTTAAACAAAATTGAAAAAGGACTCTTTTGTTCAGAACGCCAGGGTCGGTAGACATAGGATCAACACAAAAAGGCATAGAATCAGTGGAGGCTGGTGGATTTTTTTAGGGCCAGCCAATCAGTTTCAGTAAACAGTATAATTCAATGCAAAAAAAGGTATCAAACACACGTTATTGGTTTGCAGTTAAATATTTAACATTTATTCCAAAAGTTTAACATAATAAGGACCTTATTCAAACAACAGTCTATTAAGGAATATGTATACAATATAAATATCATAAATTATATGATTGGACACAGGTGGAAACAATCAGGACAAGGCAGGAAGTGACGTTACCCAGGGAGACAAGAAGCAGAAAACTACAGAATGAGACAGGACGTGAACCCAAACCGTGAAAGAACTCCCCCCTCAAGTGCCAAATTTCAGATGGCCCAAACCTGGCGAAGAACAAACAAGGGGCGGAAGGGAGGGAAACCAGAGACGAGGGACGGGCCACCTGGGGAACTCCGGCGGTTGGCCAAGCGGGGTCGGGGAATTGCTGCGGCCCAGTGCGGAAGTTTGTGCGCTGCGGCCCAGCATGGAGAGTGTAGGAGGACTGGAGCGTGGCTGGCACAAGCCTTTATGTACGATTCTTATACAGTATAATCCATGCTGTCTCATGGCTAGCTTGTCCCTGGCAGCTGTGCTTGTGGCTCAGCCTCCGTCCCCATCCATTTTTGAGGAGCATCAGTAACCCTACAAAGAACCACCCCCCGTATGTACGCCAACGCTGTGTTCTGCTGCGCTTAGTGGTTCCTTTCAAGTGGCCTGTTCCAAAAACGAGGCCCCAGCTCCAAAAAAGGGCCACATACACAACCAAAAAAGGATACAAGAAAAATGCAAAGTAAAATTGCTCACCTGTGAAGACCACAGAACTGCAGTGTATGGGACTGTATAAATAGGCGGCTGTGGGTCAGATGTGGGAAACAGAGGGTTACTGGTTCGTTCTGTCCACATTGCCCTTGAGCAAGCCGCTAAATGAATGCAATCCATGACAAAATATGACAACATCAGCACTGTTTTATGGGTAAACAAAACTCAATAAATAGGAAGGGTGTGGTGCTGCTGTTTTGATGAGCAACTGAGTGCAAACAGCTGCTTAACCCCCACACACTTCAACAACCACATAATCAGACACACACACACACACACACTCACACACACTGTGGGCAGCGTTCCACCTCCTGGCTGACCTTGTGGTCCCATCTCGAAAATAAACATTAACCTTCTTGTCCCCTCCAAGTGCACACCCTGTCATTAGAGGGAGGCCAACATTCACTACTGTGTGTGTGCGTGTATGTGTGTGTGTGTGAGTTTGTTTCAGAGGCGATTGGAATAATGAATGGAGTTATGAATAATTATAATTATAACCATGGGTTTTCATATGAAATTAAACAGAACAGATAGGTGCAATAAATACACACACGCACAAGATATTCATGTTATTTATGTTAAATCAATATATCGATCACTAGGCAATAGTATTACACTATTCTTATTGTTTTTATTGATTACATAGTTTCAGAATCATGGCTGTATCCTGGTGTACACTAAATGCATTTTATTAATTGGTCTAATTTATGAACCGGGTCGTCAGTTTGTTTAGAATATTCCACAACTGTAAGAGGTTGAGTTGCAAAGGCAGCAGATTTTGACATTGAACAACTAAATTGTTGTGAATTCAATATATGAAATCAAGCAGCGATGAACAGGCCTTCGCCTCCCCTTGCATGTCGGGGGGGAACGGTCAGCCAGACACACGGTCAAAAAGACATAAAAAAGTTAATTTGAAGTCTGGCTTCGTAAACAGAATACCCAGCGCCGGCGCTCCGCACACGCACATCACGCACTGCGCGTAGGGCACCGAGTGCATGGGTGGGGCATCGAAAAATCTGGGACGTAAAAAATCATCACAGTTACCTACTAGTATAAATAACAAATAAAATATGTCTAAAGCATGTTAATATGCAAAAGTAATACAAAAGTAATAGGCCTAGACCAAATTAGTGGAGAAAAAGGGAAACCTCCTGTGTGGGGAATAAAGAGAACCTAACTAAGAAATTCTGAATGGTTGTTATTCCTTTGGTGGTGGTGGTGGTTGGTTGGTTGGTTGGTTCATTTGTGCTTAGGGCACCCAAATGGCTAGCGCCAGCCCTGAGAATACCTCACCACTTGGCTACTTGTCTTGCTGTACAAAGACCTGCAAAAGGTAAATAAATATGTAGGATCACCTCCATTCAGTCACGGCAAAGAACGTGAGATAATCTCACCACTTCTGCTCCACAAAGAAGTACTAACTTGTGAAGTCTGGCAGACATATTTTGCAAACTGAACACATTGAATGTGTCTCTGCAGAACACCTGTATGTAAACATACTCATGTCGGTCACAGACAACTTGACCAACTTGATTAATTATTCTCAAGCCTACTCTGCTGATTCGATTCAATTCAATTCATTTTATTTTGTATAGCCCAAGATCGCAAATTACACATTTGCCTCAGAGGGCTTTACAGTCTGTACACAAACAACATCCTCTGTCCCGAAACGCACCATCGGCACAGGAAAAACTCCCCAAAAAATGAAAAAACCCTTCCAAGAGGGAAAAAACCTTAGGGAGACCGTCAGAGGAGGGATCCCACTCGGACAGACTACAATGGATGCCATGTGTACAGAATGAACAATGTATAATACATGCAATTCCTATGACAGAAATTATTCAAGTAATTGTGAGTAGTAAGCCAGGCGCACAGCAGGACCACTGCAGGGGCAACCACCATCAGATAGAACCACCATCCACAGAAGCCTGTGGGGAGGGAGAGCACAGAGGCTTTAGGAGAGGGTTTACGAGTACAGTAATAGGATTAATATCTAAAATAATAATGATGATGATGATGGCAGCAGCAGGCGTCAGCAGGGCCACGGTCGGTGTGAGGACCAGGGTCCAGAAGGAACTACGATCTACGGAGACCTGCTAGGGGAGAAAGCACAAAAAAAAAAAAACTCCCGGAACGAAGCTGAATTAGTCATTTGCATTAATAAAACGGGAATTATGGTAGAACGAGAGCGTGAGAAGAGCTCGGTGTGTCCTAAGAAGTCCCCCGGCAGTCTAAGCCTATAGCAGCTTAACTAAGGGCTGGTCCGGGCCTGAGCCAGCCCTAACTATAGGCAGAATCAAAAGAGGACATTTTTAAGTTTTACTTTAAAAGAGCTGACCGAATCTGCCCCCCGGACTGAAAGTGGAACCTGGTTCCACAAAAGAGGAGATTGATAACTGAAGGCTCTGGCCCCCAGCCTACTTTTTAAAACCATAGGAACAACAAGTAACCCAGCATCTATGGAGCGCAGCTGCCTTGTAGGGCAATAAGGTGTTACAAGCGCTTTAAGATACGACGGTGCCTCACCAGCAAGTGCCTTGTAGGTGAGGAGAAGTACCTTAAAATCTATTCTTGATTTAACAGGGAGCCAGTGCAGAGAAGTTAATACAGGAGTGATATGATCCCTTTTCTTCTTGTTAATACACGTGCTGCAGCATTCTGAATCAACTGGAGAGGCTTAAGAGATTTACATGAGCAGCCCGATAACAAAGAATTACAGTAGTCCAGTCTGGAAGTGACAAACTCATGAACTAATTTTTCACTTTGAGACAGAAAGTTCCTGATTTTTGATATGTTACATAGATGAAAATAGGCAGTCCTTGAAGTCTTCTTTATATGCGAGGGTCGAAGTATATTGAAGGGGTATTGAAGGGTATTGAAGGTCATATCCTGGTCGAAGAGAACTCCCAGATTCCTGACGGTGCTGCTGGGTACCAGAGCAATTCCATCCATAAAAACTGTATCACGTGACAGCTGGCTTCGAAGGCGCTCTGGGCCTATCAGGATAACTTCCGTTTTTTCTGAGTTTAGCATCAGGAAGTTGCTGGTCATCCAAGTTTTGATGTCTCCAAGACATTCCTGAAGACTAACTAGCTGGTCTGTCTCTTCTGGCTTGATCGACAGATACAGTTGAGTATCGTCTGCATAACAATGGAAGTTTATGTGGTGTTTCCTGATAAGATCGCCCAAAAGAAGCATATAGAGGGTAAATAAAATCGGTCCAAGTACAGAACCTTGTGGGACTCCGTGACCAACATTGGTGGTCTTTCAGGATTCACCGTTTACAAGCACAAACTGGGATCGATCCGATAAGTAGGACTTAAACCAGCTGAGTGCAGTTCCTTTGATACCAATCCAATATTCTAGTCACTGCAACAGCATACAATGGTCTATGGTATCAAATGCGGCACTGATGTCCAGCAAGACAAGAGATGAGTCCTTGGTCCGATGCAAGTAGAAGATCATTCGTAATTTTCACCAGTGCTGTTTCTGTACTGTGATGCGCTCGAAAAATCCTGACTGGAAATCCTCGAACAAATCATTGTTTTGTAGAAAGTCACATAATTGATTTGCGACGGATTTCTCAAGGATCTTAGAGAGGAAGGGAAGATTAGAGATAGGTCTGTAGTTAGCCAACACCTCTGGAGCAAGAGTAGGTTTCTTAAGAAGAGGTTTAATTTACAGCTACCTTGAAGGACTGTGGTACATGTCCTGTCAACAAAGACAGATTCATAATATCTAATAAGGATGTGCTAACTAAAGGAAAAACTTCCTTAAGCAGCTTGGTCGGAATCGGATCCAAGAGACAAGTAGAAGATTTAGA